TATATATATATTGTGACAGCAGGCAGGTAAAATCGCCTGGGTGTATCCAGGATGGCATATACAGTATGTGTGTCCCAGGCTCAGGTTGTATGCAGACTTTTTCCACTAGAGGGTAATGCTGGAATGGTAGAGATAATGAGCCCAGCTGAAGTAAGCTGACTCATTAGTCATCTGTAACAACTCCCAGACTGCTCAGAGATTTGCTCCACCCTGGAACCAGTTTTATGCCTTAGTAGACTAGGGAGCTTTCTACCTACCTGTGTGGTGACAAAGAAAACAAACCAAAACTCGTGTGGTGAGACACAGCCTGTGTGGCAGTTTATTGAATAGGGAGATAGGTGCTAGGGGCAATACAAGGTTGCACCTAGCTGTTAGTGAGGGAAACAGTATGTGTAGTAAGTGGCTAAAAGGCAAGGATTTCTTTTCATGTTTTGTTTGTTGGGCTCAAATTTAACCTTAAATAGTGTAAATAAACTGCACGTGTGTTTTCACCTGAAGGGATCGTTGTTTGCTGAGCCTAATTTCTGTGGCGTGAACTCATCTAGGGACTCACACAAACCTGCTGCCGAGCTAACACCCTCCCTATATATATATATGTATATATGTATGTATGTATGTATGTATGTGTGTATGTGTATATATATACACACAGTATGTGACAGATATCTTATACCTGTTTCTTGTTTTCTTATATATATGTATAATATAGTGTATTAGAATTTCCAAGCACCAACTACAAAAGAAGTGTAAGCAGCATTGAGAAAACTTAGCATTATGCTTTTATGTAAAATATAAAGATTTTGCAAACACTTTCAGGGTGAGGCATCACCAAGAAAGTGATATATATGCATCCCTATACCTAGAGAGAGCAGGCAAATGTTTTCACAACAGTACACAACAGAAAGAGTATAATGTTATAAGCGGGACTATCCTACAGCAGGACTAAACTAAACTGATGGTATTATGGTATTAAACACTGTTTTTTTTTTTCTTTGTAGTGACGTCACGGCCACCTTCGCCCAGTTGTCATTGTTTAACCTGGAAATGCAGATCTGTCATTGCCACTGGGCGGAGTCAGTCGTGAGGTCCTAAATGTGGTTCTCAGGGTCATGAAAAAAAAAACCTTAAGAAATGCACATAGAAAAAAAAGAGGGGGAAGATGGGGAGCCTGTGTGCTGTAGTATGGCTTATATCTGGTGAGAATGCTGGTTAGCATATTTTGAGGAAATGGTATAAACAACCTTGAATCCACACTTGTGGATACTTGATGGTCTGGGATTTGATTAGCATAAAAACAGATTTAGAATAGACAGGTTATAAGATATGATTCTGTAACATACTATACATGGTGAGGTTGTAGGTTATCATAAGGAAATGGTATGTGCAACCTATATTCTGTATAGGTGATACATTTTGATGCTTTGGGATGTCCAATCATTGGTCCAATTGCAGAGACTGAGGATGGTCAAGGTGACTTGGTTGACTTCAGAAAAACTCTGGATGGCTTTGAGCGCTTTCCCTATTTGGAGTTCATGAACTGGCCAAATTGTTTGATCTGTTTGCCAGCCTCAACATCCTTCTTCAGGAAGTAATTCATTTATCGGTGGTATTACTACCCCCCAATAAATGAACGCTTCCTGCTGTGCAGGTTGCACAGCGTCGTTGGTTGCTAAGATGCTGGCAGTGGCTGGCATTTTAGCAACCACGATAGGTTCTGCTTTAAAATTTATACCAGACCCTCTTTAAAGATAAGATTTTGGTATGGTCCCCACTAAATTTTTTTTTTTGGGTGGGGGTTGATTTTCTATTATAATGGGTCCATCCATAAAAGTCTGATAGATTATTGGAATCCTGGCTGCTTTGTAATGCAGCTGCAAAATGTACATTACCCACAAATTACATGGTATTTTTTTTGTTTTGTAAATGTCAGTTTTGCTTAAGTACATTGTGCAGCTGCATCACTTCAGAGGTAAGTTTAGGGCACCCCTGAAGCATACAGTATAGCTTAAAGGAATTGTACATTTTTTATTTTGCCCTTTGTTTGACAATAGCTTGCCTATTAGCCTTGAAAGTGACTTTGGTTACAAACAGAAGAAGCTAGCATAGAAATGACTTTTTGCAGCAAATGGTATTTGTTTTCTATGTAAATGTTACTTTTTGCTGTAAATATATTCAAAATATTGAATGAGCTGCTCCCAGCCAAACAGTATTTTTTTTTGCATTGCTACATGTCCTTCTGGCAGTGGACAGCTCTTTATTTGACAATCCCTTGCCTATTAGCCTTAAGAATTGACAGAACTGATTTTAAAGATTTGGATTCCTTCAGTGGGGTTCATATTCAGGATCAAACATCAGAGGAGTTCGGGGGAACCTCCCACAAACTTAACCCTTTTGTGTTTGTCTCCTCCCTAATGGTGTTACTAGCAGAGGTGGCCATGAGTGAATAGGTCTATAATTAGCAAGGATCAGAACGGCAATAAATGCAACAAGGGTAAGGTATTAGGAGGAATGCTGTGAATCATATTACCTTAAATAAAATGTATCATAAAATCCCATCATCCAAACATTGCAATGCTTATTGTGAGTAGTTTAAATAGAAATTGAGCTTAGAAGTGTTATTTGAGAAAAATCTTGTAGTTACACTGCAATGTAGTTTAGTACTCATATTATATAAACCAATTTAGTCCCCAATTTAGTCCCTAAATCCTCTTGAGTCCCATAAATTTTTTTCCATCTCAGGGATGTCTTAATTTGGCACATTATATATTTTAGATTTAGTAGTTTACCTTAACATATTATACATAATTGTTTGAGGAACAAATGGTGTTTGAATTCAACAGCATATCTGGATCCATATATTTTAATTTCTCTGGTTTTTATGAGGAATAAATAATAAAAAAAGTTTTTTAAAAAAAGTATATTTTCTAATTAATTGCAACACTTATGTAATTTGCTCCCTGCTTATATTTACCCCCAAATATAATCAACCAAGTCATATTAATGTGTCTTTTATATATTGTGATGCACACAGTAGGAAAAAAAACGGTTTGTGTAAATTATTATTGGAAGATTAGGATAAGAGTAAGTCAGGCAAAGATTAGCATGATGGTGACTTAACAGATTTTTTTTGTAATATTACTGGCTACAATCAGGCAGGTATAGATCACTATAGCAGCATTCTACTGCTAATGGATGTAAAGAGCTGTAGCAGCTCTGCCAGAGTCTCTGTACTGACATGAAGTGTTGTGAAATCACTTGTGAGCTCACTATACTCCTGATGAAAATATTGTGTAGAAATATAAGTTGTACATTAGTTTCTACGGCATGTTCCTATGGAGTAATCTGTAGAAACATCGAAAGTCCAGTAGCTGATCGTTTCAATTTAGCATCTGGGTTTAGTGCTGGATGCCAATTGTCACAGACAGCAAGCAGTGCCAGCCTAAATCCCTGCCAGGACCTGCAGGAGCTGGTGTAGTATTACAAATACTGTGACAAATAGCTACTCTCCCCATGCCATTTTAAAAACTTGAGTGGTCAAATCATTGTAGTGAAACAAAAAAAAAACTACTATAATAGATACTTTTATAGTAGTTTTTTATCATATCTCACTGAACGGTTTAATACAATACGATTACTAGTGATGAGCAAATGTACCTGGGTTTAATTCATAGTGTGTTCATCAAACGCATTGTACATTTTCAAAATTGTGAAATATGTCCTATCACTAATCCATAATCCTATCTTAAAAACCAATCCTGGCCATTTTCAGAGTTAATAGGGAAGGAATTGTCAAACAAAGAGCATAGAGAGCTGGGCACTGCCATGAGAGACTTGGACCAATGCAAAAAAAGTTAAAAAATTAGGTTCAGTGGGACTTTAAGGGCGACATGGGAAAAACACCAATCCTTCAAATGACATGCTTTTCTGCTGTATGCAGTGTTACAAAACAGTGCAATTCTTATAGACAACATCATTGACACCACATTCTGGCATTAAATACCATATTTTGTATGTATAAAAGATTTCATTTTACATTATTGCTTGGCTTAAATACAGTAGCAACAACCCAACCTCATTCCAACTTGAATAAAAGGCTTTTTTATGTAGTTTTTGCTGCATGTCTTATTTTTTTATCTAACAGTAACAGGCCAGAATTAAGTGTTGCAAGGAGAATCCACAACCAGTCTTAAAGCTATCAGGAGGTTCACACTTCAAAAAAAGAAAAAAGAAAAACTAGAGTGTGTTATTTTAGAGGCAACAGCTATAAATATTCTAAACGCTCCCTAATCAGTGTTGAAACACTTGGAGTATGCCAGATTTTTAAAATAACACACAACATGCAACTTTTAAACCCAAAAATCCACATTTAAGTATATGTCACAAAAAAGGAAGAAATATTGTATAGGCTTCACATACAGCATTGCAGTAGTTGGGGTAGACTGCATTTTAAAAACAGAATACCACATACAGCCATTCAGGCCAAATATCTACAATAAAACAGCATGGAATATTGCGCACATTGACTTAGCTTTGTAGTAGCTTTGACTCCATAGACAGTGTTTAAGTATTTTGGTAGAAAAAACAGACAACTATTGAATTTACTTCATATACAATATTTACAAAAATTTACTTGGCCGCATTTTTAACAGGCGAGACACCCGGCAGATTTCAATGAAATAAATTTACATTATGATTATGTAGTGCATTATTTCTCTGAGCCAAGTCAGCAGAATACTTTACTGATATGTAAGCACATTTACTAGGCTGCAGTTTAATGGGTTGAGGCCACTTTAAATTGTGAAGCTGTGAGCCAGCTGTGGAAACATTATGAATAGCACCTTGACAGTGCCTGATCAACAGAATACAGTAGAAACATTGAGGCATAATAAAGAATTGATCCTGCAGAAAAAAATTACAAAATTTGCAGACGAGGCCTAGCTGTGGAGACATGCTTTGTGGCACCTTGACAGAGACGGATCACCAGAATATTTGAAAGTTTGAGGAGCAATGCAGCATTGACCCTGAAGAAAAAAACAGAAATCAGAAAATATATGTGTGGCATCTTTATAATGCCAGAGCAGCAAAATAGGCTGTAGAGGCAGCATGAGATGGTAATAATGACAGGAATACAGCAGGAGAAGGATCAGATAATGATGATATGAGATAGTCATTGTGGCAGGCTATCAGTGATGGAAAGAAGAGGTAATAGTGGCAGGCCAGCAGCAGGGCATAATGGCAGGACATAGTAATGGAAGCAGGCCAGAAGCTGTGGCAGGAGAGGGTTATGGTGTTGGCTAGCAGCAGTACAGTAAGCTGGCAATGGTGGCAGGAAATGATAATGATGGCAGGCCAGCAGCAGTGGCAGGGTATGTTAATGCTGTGAGGTATTCAATTGTGAGTCAGTCATATGTGTCATGGGACAGGCATTTCTCTGTCATAAAACTGCCCTTTGCACTGTATGCCCTTTCTGACAGCACTCACGCTGACAGCTCAATTGCATACTTGGCAAGCTCTGGCCAGTAGTCCAGCTAGACCCCAGTTCACCCTAGATCAAATGGTTTAGGCACTGCCTGTGACTGCTAACAGCAGTCAGGCCTGCCTGCTGCAATTTGAAAAACAACTTAAAGTGACATTAAACCCTCAGATTTTTTAACATAAACCAATACTGTAATGTGCGCCTTACTGTAATCCATGGTTGTTTCCCTTCTCTTTGCTGCTCTTCCTTTTAAATCCTCATGTCTTCTCATGCTTGGGTAGAACTTCCCTTTTCAGCTCAGGGCCTCTTCCTGTAGTGCTGGCTCAGATTACAAGCCTATACAAACCTATAGACAGACACCGTGTATCCATTCCTGAGACAAGGCAGTCTGCTGCAAAACGGAAGTTCTGCAGAGCATGAGAACAGATACAGATTTAAAAGGAAGAGCAGCAAAGAGAAGGGAAACAACCATGGATTACAGTAAGGCACACATTACAGTATTGTTTTATGTTAAAAAATCTGAGGGTTTAATGTCACTTTAAAGGAGAACTATGGGGTCAGTGTTTTTCCCCATAGTTCTCCTTAGGGTAACGGGAGAACACAAACTAGCGTCCTCCCGTTACCCTAAGCTCAGTATACCGCAAGCTACAGCTCGTGGTATACTGAGACGCCACAGCCGGAGCGGATCCCGACATCGATGTCGAGATCCGCCCAGCTGCGTGAGTGACAGCTGGCTCTGCCTATCTAGAGGCAGAGCAAGCTGTACCAGCCCCCTCCCCCGTCCGTTCCGCCAGTCAGCGCTGGCAGATCGGAGCGGGGAGAGGGGAATCCAGCCCCTCTCCCTGTCACGGCAGAGAGCCGTGACAGGATCGAGAGGTGAGCGAACCCGGTATGTTTTTGCTCACCACCCGATCTACTGAGCCGACCTGTGACAGTCTCATTGTCACAGGTCGGCTAGAACTATGAGGTGAGTGGAAATCACTTATCTCATAGTTCTCCTTTAAAAGCATTGCTGAGGCAGCTACTACCACCTCTGCTCTTCTATTCAGTGACTAGAGGATCAGAGGCACATTGGAGTGTGCTGAACACATGGGATAGCGACATGGAGCCATTACCTTGTAAATGCTGGTGGAGGCCAGAGATTGACCTCTGGGTGAAAAAATGGTGGCTGAGTACCTGCAACTGTGGAATAGCACAGACCACAAAGTTGAACAGAGAACAGACCCCACCATCTGGAATGGGAGCTGTAAACAAAGCAAATTTTTCCAAGCTGGCATTGGACTGGGGGTAATTGATTAGCCATTTTTTCTTGCACTCTATAAGGTGCAAAAGAAACACCCGCCTGGTTAAGGATGCTGCTGGAGAGGATGGGGTGAGGTTTGGAGACTTATAGGGAGGTTCATGCCTACACTTTGCCTTACTCTTCATGGTCCCATGCTGACCTTCTTCCCCACTTTATGCGTTGCAAAGTAAGTCTCTCAAACCTCTTGTCAGACTTCCATACCTATCTCTTGAGGTCTCAGATGTTGCAGACAGAGATTCTTGTGGGGTAGGGGGAGAGGTTCAAAGGTAGCAGCAAAAAGAGGAATTGAGGCCTTTGGATGCCAACCGGTAACATAATTTGCTGCTTCCACTGAGATTTTTGGTGAAGAGTTTTCTCTTGCAAGTGGTGCCCAAACTACCGGTACATATACAGTACCACACTTGATACACTGCAGGCAATGGCATCAAGCCACTACATAGTTGTCAGGAGCAGATGTGTTAAAAAAGGCACGGACTGATGAGCTATGTGGAGCAGCCCTGAGGATAGCAGTGGCCTGCATCTGTGGGATAGTGCCACCTGGTGGAAGAGCATGGCTGCTCCCTCTACTCCTCTGCAAGATGCCCCCGGACCTGGATAAATTCCTGCCTTGAAGATGCCTGCTTCTGTCTCATTTTCCTCCTCTGCAGTCTCTGGCACCCAGGTATTGTTTACTACCTCATGATCCTCACCCTAGTCATTGCTCAAGCGCACTTTGCAGGATGATGCAGCTGCAGGGACCTTAACGACAATTGCTTCTCCCTGCCTGTTGTTCTCTCCATCTATGCTTCTGTCACTCTCTTCCTTTACATCTGATAACAAGAATTCTTGGGCATCATCCTGCATCAAGTTACTGATGGTGTGCTGCCGAAATTATTCAGCAGACTCTTTCATGTCAGTATGGGGTGCAACAGTGGGATTAGCTGTAGAGAAGGAGGAAGAAGAGGGCACATTTGCAGCTGCTAATGTAAATAATGTAAATGCATTGACCTGAGTATGAGAAGGAGGATGGACAAGGTATGGTTATCCACTCCAGGACTTCAGTTACAGTATGTGCTCTGGCTGTATACCACTCTCACTGCCAGAAAAAAATGCAGATTTGCTGTGCCTCTCAAAAGTGGGGCTAAACCATTGCTTTTTCCTCCTGATGCAGAACTTTCACGCCACCTACTATTTGCACATGAAGAACCCCTCTCTCTCTCCAATTAAGCCTCTCAGATATGATGAATACAGTGGATTGTCTAACTTTATTAGCAGCTATGGCAACAAGAAAACTGAGGATGTGGTGATTTGGTGCACTGAACTGAACCTCAATAATATGTGATGATGTGCTGCAATCAAATGTCAGCTTTACCTGAGTCAAGAACAAGCTGTGGGGTCTATCCACTGTGAGAAACAAGGTGGGTACACAATAATATGGAACCCTAAAACACTGTAATGAACAACCTGTGCTTGCGTGCGTTTCCTCCTGGTGCTCCGGTTTCCTCCCACACTCCAGAGACATGCTGGAAGGTAAATTGGCTCCTGTCTAAATCGGCCCTGTATGTATGCATGGGATATAGGGACCTTAGATTGTAAGCTCCATGAGGGCAGGGACTGATGTGAATGTACTGATGTAAAAGCGCTGCGTAAATTGTCGGCACTATATAAAATACCTGTAATATAATATTAAAAAATATACAGTATATACAGTGTATATTGTGAGATTTAGCTTCCAATGGTAGTACATTAAGGACGGAGTCCACTCGCTTACCATGTCTTTTTAAGGGCTTCTTTGCCCACTTTTATTACTTCAAGCATAAAAGTCCACACAGGTGTTTCCCTCGCAGGGGTCTTCAAACAAAGTACAGTAAAATAATGATTTTCCAAGTCTCACCGACTTCAGGTTATCACAAAAAAAACCTCTCCCACACGGGCTGTATTCAGCTGACGTGCCACACAGACTGGTTACAGGATGGAGTCCTCCTGACTCCTGGACAGACACCTCCCTTGTCTTCCAGCTGGAACCCTGAACATTAACCAGCATTCTCTTCATAAGGGCTGTGCACAGGTGCACAACCACTCGGTGCTGGTCACCACTAAAGTCCGGACCCAGGAATGGAGATTTCATCCCTCCCAATTCTCTTAGAAATCTCCCAGTTCCAGGATACCAGAAAACCTGGAAAGAATTGTAAAGCCAGCTCTTTCCTGGTAAACGTACTTGTGTCCTGGAACTGCTCACCAGTCAGTCAAAAATTTCACCAGTCAGCATGACCAGACTATAGCCTTGCAATTTATGTTAAAAAATTTTGGGGACAGATCGAGCTTTCTTTTGGAGGTATATAATCACCACTTAGGGGGATGTTATTTTTTTTTTACTATATAATGAAAAAAGTACCATAAATGTAAAAAAAAAAAAAAAACGTTTCCCTACGTTATGTTATAAATTTATTATTCTTACCCATATTTTTACTAAAACATAAAATTCGGTGTCACGTCGGGTAAATAGATACCAAACATGTCAAGCCTTAAAATTGCGTGCACCCGCAAAATCGCGAAAAACGCCAATAGGCAACGATTAAAACACTTTTACTGCTCATCAGTTTAGTATTATCAGTGATTAGTGGCTCTAATATTATTGCTCTCACTCCGACATTTGCGGCGATATTTAACATGTGCGGCACAATAAGCGCAATCGTCGTTTTCGCATGTAGGCGCACCCGACTCATATCTGCGTGTGTATGTGGGGGCGGGGACTTCAAAAAATGTTTTCTTTTTTAATTTTTTTATGCTTTATTTTTTTTATGATTCTTTAATTTTAGTATTACTTTTTTTTTTTTACACACAGCTTTATTGCTATTATATAGGGGGCTAAGAAGCCCCCTATGTGATAGCCAATTTACATGACAGGTCCTCTTTATGGAGACATCAGGGGTCTCCAAGACCCCTAATGTCACCAAGGGACCCCCACAGAAGCTGATGAAGCAGAGATCGGCTTCATCAGCTTCTGTAGCTGGGAGAGTGACACTGAATGCAGGAAGTGATGTAATACACATCACTTCCTGCATTCGGGGACTGAGAGGAGATATATATATACACATACACTGAGTGGCCAGTTTATTATGACCACTTGACGTTTGTAGGCGAATTGTGGCCTTCAGCGACTAGTCAAAGTTAGGGCAGAATGGAGAGTGGCAAGACTGGTACAAGACAACAGAAGGGCAGCAGTGCAGTGTCAGATTCCTCGCATCACCTTTCAACATCTCGTGGAGTCACGAGGCGGCCCAACGAAGTCTTCTTGTGGAGTTATTTCGTGGCCCAACGAAGTACTGATGGGGTGTTCATAATAATCTACTGGACAGGTCCAAACTAATCAAAATAAAATCAGCTATTTTTTTTTACAGTCAGTGACTGAGAGTGATACAGACCATTATAATAAGCCCTTAGGTGTTACATCATCAATCTGGAGACACACAATCTGAATGACAGCGTTTATACAGTTTTCAGTATGGTAAAAAAACATAATTGGTTTCCATTAACTCATGGTAGGTGATAGAAACTTCTCATAAAATATACAAAAAATATACATTAGGAAGATGATATCCCTGAAAAACCAAATACAGTATATCAAATCTAGGAACATTTATCTTGCCAGCAGGCTAACACATAGTTCACAGGTTCACTTCAACACATGTCATTTTTGGGAATAATTACCCAATTAAAACAAATGTAGACCCATAGGTGAAAGACATATAGCACAACTAATATGATAAATACCAGAGACAGATAATCATACAATTCTTTCTTGAAAAAAGAAAGAACACACAAATAGAAGTAATTGGCGCAATTCACAGTGGTGTGTATTAGTCGATATCCATTACCAACTACTGTACTTCAAGTGAAGCATCCCAAACCTCCAAAAACTCTGACTTATGCTAATTAGATCACCTATCTTTAGCTATCACTCATCTACCCTTTGGTCTAGAGAATGTTGCAGGTACAACTGTAATGATTAGCGTAAATAGAGCCTTTTCACTTTGCTGTCCTTTGTCGCAATCATCCTTTTTATTGACTCTGGACTCATTTTATATTGGTTACTAATGCATCCTCCATAGCCAGCGGATACCCCAACATGATTTACTACAGCATAAATGCTGTCCTGCTTTCTTCTATGTAGATTAAATGAGTGAAAATTGTGTACTTTACAATGGGCCTTAAATAGATACATTTTAATGTCACTGAACAATTGTTACAGTTGATGTACCTGTCGAAAATATTGAAAAGGACCAACAGTCATGAATACACTCCTAATGTATACTACATAATAACTAAAAATGAGAGAGCAAAATAATTTGCTATTAAAATAAGTCAGTCTTTGACGTGGCTTGAATATAAATTCTACCGGCTTCTTTAATGTATTGCTGTACAATAGTATTTATTTTACATAATTAATACTCCAAGGACTTGTAATTGCTAAAAGACCGTATAGCTTTCAAGGAGTCTTTTATTTCTTCATGTTTAAATACTGCTTAAAGCAAAATTTAAGACAACACGTTACATTAAAGTTATGAGGTGCAACCAAAACATTAGCGCCTTTTTTATCTTTTGTGTTGCTGTCAACTAAACACACCCTTGGGACATACTCACTTTGCTACTAATTGCTAAGCTAGCACTTTATATGTGCTCTAACTTAAAAAAAAAAAAAAAAGAATCTTCAGTTAGAGTCAAAAAAAACGTATCTATGATTTCCTTTTATGGCACTGTATTGTGTGTTTTATCCTACTTGTAATTTTTGCAGTAATACTTTTTATCAAAGTGGTTAACTTTTTTAAGATGAATAAATCTTAATTCTACAAGTCAAATGAAACTGGCTTGTAATTTCAAGGTGAATCCTTATTTCAGAAACTATGACTATGAAAGCTTTGGTGCATCTTTTAGTGAACCATTGTCGTTCTTAAAGCATCTTGTTATAGCTGATTCTGATTCTGCACAACTAACTGTAGTTGTGTGTCTTAATCCAGATGGCTAAAGAACTGACTGCAAAGAATGTAGTAAACATTCAATAAACTTCAGTGATATGATTTATAAAATCCAGCCTGAGGTTTGAAAGAACCTTACCATTGTATTTTAATAGTGCAACAGATTTTGTGGCACAAATAATAAACCCTGCTGTCAGTGACGACTCTAGGTATCTGTATGAGAGATGAACATATCTTTATGACACAGGTATGTCTATGTAAATTCAAGGGTTTAGCCAGGGGTGTCCCTTGCCTTTTCACCCCCTGAGGCGGGCAGGGGGAGTAGGGGTGCTTGCAGTACTCTAATGCAGCTCTGGCTCTGGTTCTGGTCAGCGTCCCGTTCAGCTCACTGACATCACTGCTTGCCAGAAGCTGGGCAGGATCCGGCCAGAGCATCCCAGGTTGCTAAGTGCTGGCCAGGGAGTTGTATGGCCCTTACACATCTCCTTGCCCAGCTCACAGTAACCAAGGACGCTCTCGCCAGAATGGGAGCTGCAGGCACACTACAAAAACTGTGCAGCAGAGCGGCCATGCTGCTTGGCCTGCCGCCCCACTTGTAACCCAAAGTGACCTGCGCCAGTGACAACCACTCCTTACATTTCTTGTCCTGCCATCAAAGGCGATCACAGAGACATTAGGTGAGGTGAACTCTCCCTAACAGGGTGTAGGAATGAAAACTTGAAGGAAGTATTTAGTCTTCCCAAGTCTATCCAGCAATAAAGCATTCAAAGTTTCTCTTGAGTTGGACTTTTAAGGATAGTTAAACAAAAAAACAAAAATGTAGTATATTGTAGCTAACCATTCCTGACATGTGGTGGCTGCTTTGGTTAAGTAAACGTTAGCACATAAAATACCTAATGATCTTTCCAGAAATGCTGTGTCACTTCTTGTGGCCCATCTTGAGTGACAAGCATTGTTCTCTCCATAGCTACGGTTCAGTGAGGATTGCCAGTGAGTAAGCGTAGCCACCATAGTACAAGAAGTGTAATATTTGCAGGATTACCAGTGAGAAAGCATAGCCACCCTAGTACAGGAAGTGTAATATTTGCAGGATTGCCAGTGAGTAAGCATAGCCACCATTGTACAAGAAGTTTAATATTTGCTGGATTACCAGGTAAACAAAATTCAAAAGAAAACTATAGTCACTGCATCTAAGGATTGATCAACCTAAATATATATAAAAAAAATTGTTTTTGGGTTTAGATGCACTTTAAGAAATGTAATAAACATTAAATGCTTGGTAAAACATCCTCCATCAACCTTATACTGGGTGATAAGGCTGAACTACTCTAATTGAGAGTCCCTAGCCAGCACCTCCTCTTAACTTGACTCTACTAGAAAGGAGGGCTGTTACCTCACTTAGTGCAGATATTAGCATAGCCCTCCTGCCAGCGGACAAGGGGGAATGCACTGTTGTATTCAATTGATTGGATTATTATTGTAAAGTGACCATTCTGCTCAGTGATACTAACACTTAAAAGCTAAAAGTCATTAAAAAAAGCCATTAACTCGATATTTCACCGCTGCCTTTACCTAGG